AGATGAATCAACGCTATACTCCGCCATCTTTATTTTAATATTAGATGCAACCATTATTCTGTAGGGGACAACGGGTCATAACTTGAGGGGAGTTAACACCCATGATTTTTAAAATGCCTTGATCAATAAGAGTCTAAGTTACAGGGAACATTATTTTCATTTTTCAGTGGACCAATAAATGCATTTGACAGGAAAATAGAAAAACTCTACCACAACAGCAATTAGAACAGCTTGCTGCATTATAAGTATCACTTCCCTGTCAAATTAGTGGTTCATGCTTATTTGAATCTGAACATAACAGGCCAATTCTATCACACCTTGCTAGGCTTGAACTTCCATCCAATCAGAGCATTCCAAATGAACATGATTCTCCACAAAACTAGAGGGCGCTCTGACCAAAAAATTGCCATGATCTAAATAAAAAGAACTGATATATATATATATATATATATATATATATATATATATATATATATATCATAGGGATGTTACGACTTTCTGCAAAGCAACACAAAAACTGGAAATGATACATGGAATGTTGTGTGTTCAGCTGGTGCCTCACTGCCAATGGCGCTCATCAACCTGTTGAAAAAGTGTTATTTAAATTAAATTTGTTAACATATTAAAAACGTATTAATTATTTCATTCATCAGACAATGTAATTTTTGAATTTCATTAATTAATTAATCAGTCAGTCAGTCAGTCAATTACATAGTCGAAAAGCCGGTTGCACATTCGTTTAATTTTTTCATTCAATCGATTTAGCCAATCATTCATTCAATCTTTTTAGTTATTCATCAATTATTTTATTTCTTGTTTTTTTGTGATTCAATCTCTTAACAAGGTTTTTCGGGGAAAAATACATTCATCTCCAATTATCCATTATAATTTAAAATAGATGTAGTGAGCATTATCAGAAAAATAAGTATGATGTATTATATATTTGGCATTTATCATGTTATATATATATATATCTATATATATATATATATATATATATATATATATCTGTATGTTCTACCTATATGCTGGTTTATTGGCACGTATGGTATGAAATTCTTCCATTTTGTTATTTTTTAATAAATTCAATATAAAAGACTGTATATATTTGCTTTGTCTATTTGGTGCAGTAATTTTTATGATAGTATGATCAATTGTTAAGTAATATGAATATCTTATTAAGTATGATTGTTATGAGACGGGTTCGGTTAAAACAAATATTTTGTTTTTCTTTGAATATTTCAAACTTACATTTTTTTCTAATTCCACCAGTACACATTGTTTGTCGGGGTTCACCTTTAGATATTTATGGTATATTGATAAAGAACTTAGAAACCCCACAAACTCTGCAACACTGTAGTCAATTTCAATTGAAAATGTATCATCTCTGTATAAAAAATAAAATCATACACATTTAAATACTGACGTACAAAGCCCCCTAACTCATCAAAAAAGTAATGATTATTTATATGTATTGTATCATACATGAGCGCGTGAGTAAAGAAGCCACGCGTTTGAAATTCATATTGTAATTGTAAAACACTATTAGGAATTGGATGAAACTCAATGAGAAAGTATTTAGCTGTGAAAAGGTGAACATACGTACCTTTCAGATTCTGCATACGGCATTGTAAAACATGTATAGCGTTGCCCAACTTGCTTTATTTCATCTCCCCAGAAGCCATCTAATGTCTTATAAAGAAACTGAAATAAAGAATAAAATCAGAAAAAGTGCGTCAAAATATTGCATGACGTTTCTGGGAGGTGAGTTGAGGAACAACAAAAGGAAACATGTTTAAATCAAGTTACTGTTCTACATTTATCATTCTGATATTTTTTCCATTTTCCATATTTCTAATCACAGTTGAGGTTAACAACGTGATTAATGATGGTTATCACGTGCATGGTTTATGCATCTCCATAGTGTTATGCAAGTGATGAGGACACTTTACAAAGTGATTTATACGAATTATATTTTCACGGTGCAGAAACACAGGGCATAGTACTTTACTGTATTACCAATGAATTTCGTTTGGTTATAGATGTTTTTAAACTATACACACATCGTCATATATATTTTGCAGTTGCTTTCCATTTGTATTTCTTTGCAACTGCGCGAATCCGTATCCATATACAGCAAGGCATCCATTCGACGTCAAAACTCTATCAACTTCTTTATAAAATTGATTTTGATCGAACCAATGAGCTGCCTGTGCTGACGTCACAAGATCCACTGTATGATCAGCTGCAGGTATATTTCTATCACTTCCATTTCTGGAATACAAAGAAAAACATGACTTATTATTTCCTCTGTGTTGTATTGTCTGTGTTGAATCAGCTTGGAATTCATTTGAATGTATTGTTTTTTTCCTTTAAATGGTATATAGTCCTGATGCTTCAATTTTGATGTGATTTCTGAATGTGAATCGTTCGCATTATTAGGTGAATTACCATAATTTCAAATGACAATAATATACTCTAATACATGTATCTCAAAATATAGTGTCCTATTAAAGTACTAAATTGTTGTTGTACAATTAAACACAATGAATTTTTGAGAATAATTCCAGTATGTCATCAAAGTACACAAAACACGTTTAATAACCTAGGCGAACTTGAGCAAATGCCTATATTTTTAATTTAGTAAAATGCATATAAACAGTTTGTTCGTGTTTGTGATGTTTGCCATTTAGGTAAATGGTGAGCACACATTTGGTGCGCAAAACTGAACTTTTTCGGAACAGTCAGTCTAAGAAAGTAATATGTGACAAATAAACATAAAAAACTACCAAACAAAGAACAATACCAGAACAATTATTATCGGTACATATTATAGTACATGTACATGCAAAGGTGCGATTGTTAGATAACAAAACAAAGTCAAACTGTTCATTTGTTACCTACAATGTGTTTGTTTAAAATACCAAATGACAGTAACAAAAATGAATATCACTACAATTTTCGGCAATATTTCCAAATTAAATTTGTACGAGCTAATACGGCATATAGTCTACATTTTTTCTTTGCCATACATTTAATAATTCACTGTAGTGTGGTGAATTACTCAATCATGTTCAATGTGTGGTCATTAGTAATGTAGTACATATTGTTGGAATGTGATCAACTCCTAAAACCAAATAAAAACTTGTTTCTTGTTTAAATACATTTGTATTAGGAGTTCCAAAACAAAGATATAAAGCCAATAATTGTCAACCTATTCACATATTTAAATAACATGCTGTACTACAAGTACTCCAAATGTCAGGGCCTAAATTCGTTTGGAATTTATAAGAAGCCTGGTTCACCACTTTGTCATGTACTGTATTCTAAGTGTTAATTCAGTTTTCTTTTTAATTCAATCGAAATATTTCTAAAATGTATAATCATGTTGAATGCATGAGTGATAAATTAAGGTTCTCATTTTATATATCCTTCAAATACCCTTAGGTACCCATGGACTCCATATGTAGATGTCTCTTCTAATCAAAATAATCCAAACACCTGTTTTCTGTTACACGAACATGAAGTCCAACGTCTATGGATTTGCACTTAGGTGGAACTGTGGGTTACCAATCATGAGCATGCATTTGTTGTCAAAATAGTCAATATATCATATCACAGAATACATCCGTTACCCCTTGAGTCTTTGATCTATCCTAGCATGATTTCTGCGTCCTTGGCGATGGAGCAAGATGCAAGCTGGCGCACTTCACCATATATTCTGATTTCTCTTGCAAAGCATTTAAATTATTGACCTGACTATTAGGACATCATTTCAATTTGGATGAGACCCAAAGCTTTGGGGGTCTTTTTGGAACTCTTGGCTCCGCACCGAGGTACGGGAGTTGATCGTTTTTACAAGGACGACACGACGTGTTGTGAAATTGGAATTTAAATATGTTATGGGACGACAAGTGGGTTTTTCAGAGGAAGTTGTCCCCGGAAATATGCCCCTCCTTTCTTTAACCTCCCGCTCATATATGGCTATGACGACTAGTTAGAAAAAAAGGAAGAAGTCAGTGGTTTCAATCAAGATAACTGAACATTTGAATTGATAATCTGATAGTAGTGAATATGAATTGTTTGATATGACTTTGCGGGAAAATAATAATCAATCCATGTTGAAATGATCGCAACAAAATAATTACCCATACACGCGTGTTTAGAACACAGCATCTGGACTGGCCCATTTGACCGCTTTGCTTTCTTTTCAGAATGATATTCAGAAGGATTTTTAATGGTCGATTCCTAATATAATAAATATTGCCGTGCGCATCTAACATTCAACACAGTCAATGAGGTAAATAGTGACACGTGCTACATAATATTAAGTATTCAAGGTGGTCACATTTGATGACGTCTTCTACTGCTTGACTGAAGGCTTCCATGCGACAAAATTATGATTTTCAGCATTATTTGTTGTAGGTCAAAGAGAACGTATTCGCATTTATATTGATGTTATATTATTCTCGATCTTTATGTGGTGGCCGCGTTGTTTCGTCACGGATTAAATTCAGGCCTGTAATATAACGCTTATCAGATTATCCTATGACAATTACTGGTAGTATAGTACAAACACTCAATATTCAATAACAATATGCGTAAGGTATTTTGAATAACAATTGAAATTGCGTGATAAGGAATGGGCAAAACATTAGTAATGCCTTAGCAGGAAAATGAAAATTTGTATTGTATTGTACATGTATTGCATTTTTTTCTCGCCAATTTCGACGGCTACGGGCACATCCCAAAGTCCATTTGAATTTAGTCCAGATTTCTCCTTTATATATAAATAAGCTTGTCGCCTTGGATGGGAACTAAACAGACGTACTATCCGGCAGACGGGCTTGATTTTAAAACCCTACAGTCATGTTCAATTATATAATCAACCTATAGTGACGTATACAACGTGGGTAATATAAATTGTCTATTTACATGAAATTCGAATTTAATGTAATGAACCTGGTATTTGGCAAAGAATACTTCTCTATTTTGTTTTATTAAAAATAAAAAATCATGAGGTAATATTTTTTTGTGGGTAAGCACAGTGGATTTTCAGCAGATTATCACTCGCGATAAATATGCTAAGGTTTGGGACAATGGTAACAATTATTTACAACCTTCAATTTACCCGAGTAAATACGTGAACCTTTGATGTGACAGATTTGTTTCAAATAAACTGTCACCATTTTATATCGTTTTCACTTTGCTTCCAACAATTTTGAATGTTCTTAGTGATTATAGAACAATTACTTAAAAACATGTCGCTGACGAAATTAACATCGAAACGTTTTGGTCATACCTACTACTAGCAATGGAATAGTTCAACTACACCTGCCCTTCCGCTTCCGCTTTCGTTGTTTTGATATATGTTAATCAAGTTCCCATGAAAGTGTTTAGGAATGTTGCAAAGTACCCCGGAAAGGGCCTACCAGATGCGGGATCAGGTGTATGTAAATATTATGCGTCGCTCTAACATTTGGCAGTGACGTTGACTGTTGGAGATCGATGCGACCATTAATTGATTGATTTAAGGATGTAATTGAAAAATATGAATCACTAATTACAAACACTTTCTACAACAAATATTTTAATTAACAGTCAGCTAACACTTTTGAGTTTATTATTACAATTACAAGAACAAAATATAAACTAACTTACCTATATTCTACGTTTGGTGAAAGGTTTTTGTCAATAGCTTCTCGTATCTGAGATTCACTGACGTCACACCCAATGACTTGCTCAAAATAGTCTCCGAGAACCGCAGTACTTTGCCCGGAGCCGCATCCGACGTCAACGGCCAGATTAAAAGGACCTGGCTTCTATTTAGAAAAAAAACATACATGGAAGTTTTGTACCAGAAACTCGGTACTAAATTAAATATAATTATACTTATAAGCATATTCATTATTGTGAAAAATGGCAAATAGGTCGGTGTATTGGGAGAGTATAGTGCGGGTAAAGGCACTAGACAGCGTAGTGACGTCATGCAAAGAAATTGTCTAATATTTAGAACATCACAGTTCACGTCCTGGCAATGTTTTGTACACACATTGTATATGACGCTTCGGGCAGTTCTATATTGTTTAACATTTATGTATCTATTTTTATTTATCTATATTTACCATGCGTTACCATGCCTGAATAACGTCGTCGATCGCTCTTCACAAGCCACATGTAGCCTAAACAAAGGTAACATATTGATCCAACGATCTACAATTTGCGTTGGGGATAATTGTCGGTAACCATGGAGAGATTCGATTGTTACTTTTGTACGGAAAGAAATTCGCAGTGTATAGCGCAATGCACACCTGATCTGTCCAGGAACATAGTTTTGTGAAGCATATTTTTTACTTTATGGACTTTTCTATAAAAAAAAACAATTGAATAAATCTCAACCAAAAAATGTGGCCATGACTGTAATGTGTCTTATAAATGTGCCATAGATCTGATCTCAAAATGTCGCTGGATGTTGGAAATTCTACAAATGCTTAGAATTCGATTGCATTACTGCTTACTGCAATGCTTATGGGCATATAAATCGCTTTACCTTGTCACCAAGATAGCTTATGATTCGCTCAACAACTCCTTTTGGATACGTTGGTCTGAATTTCTGGTAAGCTTCAGCAATAGCATCACCAGTGAACAAGCTTTCATTGCAAGACATGACCACACATATAGTTGAGGTGACACGTAGTATTTGTTCCTAGGGTCATGTATTCAGCCATAGAGAATAATCTCGTACCACAAATTAGCATAATCGGCGTTCGTAGTATATATATAGTGTTGTTGTTAGCCAATAGGCTTTCTATAACTGCGTTCTATCTAAAAGGCGTTGTGCGAGGGCATACTGCAATTAAGTCAGCAGCTAGAACTGTGTGTGAAGGTTTCTTTATTGACTTCAAAGATACTTCAAAGCTGTACGTATTTCGGCGAATGCTGAAGGTAAAAAGTCTGATAAATCTGTGTGTTTTGTTCACATCCCTCCCATAGGAATTCGAGCTTACACATCTTAGGATGGCTTAGGTGCCATCAAGAGCTTATCAAATTGATAAATATGACACACTTTTAATGACAATTTTAAATTTGTCACATAAAGGCCCAAACCGAGAACCAAGGACGGGACACTAAAAAATGTAGGTTATGCGTGACTGTTAATCTGTCCAGGAAGCCCTATAGAAAAGTACCAAAGAAGAACCGGAAGTAACAGCGCTACATGTAGTAATGTAGTCATTATAGGCATCGATTCGGAGAGACAGCTCACCGATGAATACTATGATAATTGCCTATACATTTTATTTTGTACCACGCACACCAGTTATTGTATAATCATCGATTATTGAGTTAAATATTCAATGGGCGTAGTATACACCCCGGTATACACCTTGGCACGAATAATTCGTCGACCGGTACTGGAAAGATGACGAACAAATAACAAATCGCACGAGATTCAATATGACTACTCATATGTTACATACTGAATATTAGTCACGTAACAATGAGTTCCTGTCACGTCAGTCAAGTCAGAATATGTCGGAACACTACTGTGAAACAATCGGGCATGAAGTTGATATCGGTTAAATTCCTGTTTTTTGTAGAGTCATTCGTGACTAAATTCAAGCCAAATCGTCGTCTCTACTTCTTATCGACGTGAAGTCTGTCATACAATATCATGAGAGCGCGAGAATGGAAATCCTTCAGTTGTTTAAATGTTTGGTAAATTTTAAAAAGTTGAATAAAGCGATACTTTGTTTCCGGGATCGTTTAGAAAACAAAGTGATAGAATGCCCGAGGCCTCGAGATTTGTTCTTTGTATATTGCGGCTTTACCAATTACTTGTTGGTTTCAATTAAAGATACACATTTGCTGGAGTCCAGGTAAGGCACCATTTCAGCATGACGCCGCCACTGTGAGGGTCTAAGTAGCGAAGAATGGAAGTTACAGCTAATCAAATGGTACGTATTATTGTATTTTATAAACGAAAACTCGACGATAAACAATTGTATTACACAGTAATCAGAACACGTTTAGCCCATATTGAACGTGACGGGAAACGGAAATCATTGGAACCTTACAAAGCCATTCTATAGACACATTAATGTTCATAACGTGATGATACTTAAGCTGCTTCTTACGTACTCATTTCTAGAACGACCTTATTTCTATTTAAACCCATAGTCTGTCGACCTTTGTGCCCAAATTATACATACAAGATTTGATATGCGGCATCAGTAAGCCAACATATTGCTACACAATTAACAGAATTGAAAATTGATATGATATTTATTCATTTTATTTACAAATTAAATTGTCACCTTACAGAGAGTGTTAGAAAGTGTCGAGTGTCATTTCTTCCTTCCAAGCAATAAAAACACGGGGAATGAAACTTTAATTGTTGTCATTTCAGGTAGCGTATCAGCACCAGTCGCACCCATCAACCTGAGAAGTGATATTATTATTATTAATATAAATCACTACGAACACAATTCAGTCGGTGTATCTCACTGACTATTTCATTCACCAAGCATTCACTTTAATTTATTCACTCGATGATCAAAGTGGTTCATTGAATCCACGCACTCAGGGATCACGACTCTTTACGCGACATTATGGCTCGTACCTAAACTGCACATTTGCTGTATAGTAAAATTTTCTGTTCTAATGATAATCGAACATTTTAGTTACACTAATCCCCGTTCAACTAAGCTTATACACCCACTCACTGATTCAAATCTTTGTCCACTCTCGGACGTCATCGAAGTATTTACACCCGTTCAATTACGCCAACTGAATCTATAATATATTCAGAAAATGTGAATGATAAGTAATGATAAGTTTCCTTAGCGTTCCAAAACTTACTTTTCTTCCACTTCCACCAATATATGTTGTTTGTGTGGATTTACTTTGAGATATTTATGGTATGCTGTCCAGGAACTTAAGTATCCCATGAAATCTGCAACACTGTAGTCAATTTCAATTGACAATGTATCATCTCTGTGTGGGAAGAAATGCATGCAGGCAACTGTTGAGGTATTTTAATAACGTGTTCGAGATAAGATTTGGTGGTTGAGGATTATTTTTTATTCTTTCATTACAAGGATCAACAGGCTAAAGCAGTCGATTCCACAATTTTCGTGATGCTTGGGGACATGCTAACTATTAAGCAACACATCAGGTTAAATATATGGCCGGTATTTCAGTTTATTATATTTTTTTAGGTTAAATCAATTTCATTGACAATTACACTACTTATCTTATCACTCATGATATGCGCGTTTCACCAGCGTGTTACAATACAACATTGCGGCAGGAAAATTAATTTCGAATGCACAATATCCAATCAACGTGTATGATTGGAAACTGAATCTGCGAAATGGGGACTGAAAGATTGCATCTGAACGTATTACGTGTTTATACATGGCGAATGTAACACATATAAATACGTCATTATCTGGCGACCATATATTGATCAGATGTGATTTCGAATTTTTTTAATCAATATATGGAATAAGAAAATCTGACAGCCAAATTGGAAGTGAATCCACAAATATTTTAGCCAACAATTTGGTGTGAAAACATCTAACCAACAAAAGAGTACAGCAGACATACCTTTCAAAATCCGTATACGGCAGCTTAAATTGTTTAAAGTGATTTTCAATGTGCCGTCGTCTTTTACTCCAGAACCCCTCTAATTCTTTACTGTAGAACTGACAATATACAAATGATTGTTTCAAATAAATAATTACAATTATTACAATGGAGGAACTAAATTATTTATTTTTTTCGTTTTGCAGACACATTTCTACAAATCTTCGAAAACAAGCTTGGTACTTTTTCAAAGTGATCTCTCATGAGACAAAATCAGACATCCAAGAGGATGAAAACAAAAAAAATATTTCAATTTGTCAATAAAGTTGGTTTGATGAGTAAATTAGATAAGTGGTGTGGTGTTATAGTTCTTGGTGGCGTTATTTCTAATAACTTGAATCTATCGTCACTGACAACTATGTGACAGACATGATACAAATTGGAACTACTTTATTTATGCATTTTTTGTGTTAAAAAGTAATATGTTGGTCAAGAAATGTCAGATATTTGCCAAAAGAAAATGGCCGTCAGTCATCCATTTTAAATCCGATATGGGGAAAAAAGATGTACATAATCAACCCATCATACTCAATAGAATGGTAGAATCTAATGAATTAGATGCATTTTATAGCATTAAAATAGCCGCCATTCGGTCATTAGAGTGGGTGTTATTCTACAAATATGAAACCACTTTGACGTACCAATGCATAAAATCATTGTGAATAAATAAGTAATAAAGTACCGAAACGTCTACTTTCCTAAATTTTGTTGCATTTTTTTTAACAGCCTGTTAGTCCCGAGGCGTCTAACTTCATTTGTTTCATCTTAAAAGTGTTAAAACGGTGAAATTAACATATTATTAGTTAATTAGTCGAGGTTAAATATTACACACCTCATCAAAAACACTCTGTAGTTGTTTTCCGTTCGTGTTCTTATGGAACTGAGCGGTACCATATCCATAAACAGCGAGGCATCCCTTCGGCTTGAGAACCCTGTCAACTTCTTTATAGAAATGTTCATGATTAAACCAATGAAATGATTGTGCTGACGTCACGAGATCCACCGAATGGTCAGTTGCAGGTATATTGCTATCACTGCCAGTTCTGTAAAATATTGTTGTCGTTAAAATCGAGATTTTGAACGCCAGTACAGTATATATAACTTAAAAATTGAATCGTTTATCAATAGTTCCTGAGAAGGAGCAATCAGTAGAATTATGATATTACTCATGTGAGCTGCCATAAAGTAATGCCAGGTGATTTGAAGATTTTGTCTAATAATAATAATTGTTTCATTAAATTGGTGTCTGTATAATAAGGTATTGACTAAAGTGTCAAACTGAAACACTTGAAAATGGCAAATTTGCATAAAAGTCATTTCCCGCATTCCTACAAAGCTGGAAACCTATTTGAAACGATGGTGTGTTTTTTCCCAAATACTTTGCTCTGATCGACGAAAAGAATCATATTTTGACGGATATTTTTGGGTAAGTGCAACTAAGTTCGAAAGTCGCCCGAAATGGCGTCACTTGTTTACTGAGTAAACATGGGAGCAAACATGATTTATTCTTATCATAGATATAAACACATAAGTGGCGTTCACGTTAGAGATCTCGGCACGTGCTGAGACTCGGGACCGAGTCGGCACGTGCCGAAAATTGTGTGTGAACGGTCGGGACCGAGTCGGCACGTGCCGAAAAGAACTCGATCTCGGTCCCGATGGATGCTTGGGACCGAAACTCGGCACGTGCCGAGATTTGCTGCCTGAACGCTCGGCACGAGCCGAAATCACGCCCTCGGTGGTAAATTTAAGAAAAACATAAGTTGATTGATACTAGCATAAAATGACGATGACAGGAAATTCGGATATACTAGTAGATGGTCGGATGCTAAAGTATTGAATGCAAACCGTCATCAGCGACGCATATTTATGTGCTGCTACAACCTATATTTTCGTGAACAAAATAATTGTGTTTCGAATCTTCTTTGCCGTTCATGTGCACGATGGCTTGTAATAAACACCATTGCAACAACTGGATATAATTTCACTATAACAATTATTATTATTATCATCATATGCGTATCGTTTGTGCCAACAGATCGACGAATGAGAGCGTGATTTCGGCACGAGCCCAGTCGGTCCTAAGTGGGTCCTGAATAACGTGAACACAACTGCTGTAATATCTCTGCAAACACAACTGATTAAAAACGTGAACGTAGTAATAGTGTAATAAGGATTGAGCCATAAAGCCACGTCAGTTTCGTCGCGGCGTAATAAGTGAAATCCCAATCGTCGACCATATACGTATCCAGGATTAGCACACGGCTATGTATCTAGTTGAGTCGTCAGTGAGTCGTGCTGGTCCCGGGTGCTGGTCTGGCTCTTGTGGTGTCGCCGGAACATAGCAATGCAAGACGAAAAAACAATTCACACGTGTCAAATTTCTATACCGTACTGTACGCCACAATGACAATGGTGTCGCGCTAACCAGCAACTGTCTTTTTTACTTACAATTTACGTTTGCAGTTAAGATTTTTGTTTTCTTCGTACTATTACGAATTTCCGAAAGCTACTCTCGTAAGTTCGAAAAAAACACTGACATGCGTCCTTGTTTATCGCCTCATTTATATAAAATTTAACAATTTTCTAAGCCCAAATTCAACTACTTTAATTTATGCAAAATTTGGAAATATGCAAAAGAAATATCCAAAAATATGCCACAGCAGTAGTTGAAAATGAATTTCCTGTTATATTCACTAAAATTAGAGAATAGAAATTATGGTCAAAAAAGTGAACACAGCAAGCAAATTTTAAAAACAAGTAATTTTTTACCAGAAATATTCACAAAATTGTGAAATGAACTAATCTTAGGGGAGAAACCCCACAAAGTACCTTTCTGGAAATTATTTGATTTTAAGAAGAAGTGAAAAGATGATGTCGACGGTCGGTGTCGGACAATCAGTATTATGAATAGCTCCGCTCGACAGCAAAACAAAAAAATCTGTCAAGTTCGAGTGTGCCATATAAGTTTGTGAGTGAGTCGACACAAATAAAGATCAACTTTACGCTCTATGAAAATTATTTTACCCATACCCATTCCCAAAGCAAATTACAATGTTATAGTATAATTACAATAAACCAAAAGCTAACTTACTTATATTCTACGTTTGGTGTGAGGTTACTGTCAATAGCTTTTTGTATCTGAGATTCACTGATGTCACACCCAATGACTTGCTCAAAGTGGTCGCCAAGAATCCCAGTACTCTGACCGGAACCACATCCCACATCAACGGCCAGACCATAAGGACCTGGATTCTATTTTGAAAAATAGGGAAATTTATAAGACACTGCTCATGCATTGAAAAAATATATGAAACATATTTTGCAGGCTCTATTTTATGGAAGGTGACAAAATATGATTTGTGTTTTCAAAAAAGCGATAATATGATTAATTTAAAACGTAAACCATATACGCGATAAAAAAACAAGAAATAGAAACCTAGACGAAACCTATCAATCTCTTTCAGACAACTGATCATTTTCGCAACTATATAGTTCCAATATTACAATTTTATTTAATGCAATCAATTTCTGTTTGTACGCATTCAGATTCGTTTGAATTAATTGTCATGAGTACAAATACCACACACGACTATCCTTTTTCGGTTCGATTAGCACCCTCTACGGCAGAATTTGTGAAAATAATGTACGGCACCGTTCACCTTTTTACTTTCAGACTTTCTCGCCCAATTTTTTCTGCTTTTTTCATATTCTTCCTTATTTCAGGAAATGCACCCTAATTTTGGAGACAGACAATTTTCAGTTTTTTGTCGAAAAAATTGGCTATTTTTGTCCCATTCTTTTGAAAGGGAGTGCAGACTATAAACTGAGATTCGGAGGGACAGGTTTCCACGCACTGATTTCATATTTTCATCAGTGTGTTACATATCTGTGCACTTTATTTTCAGTATTAAAATATTGTGTTGCTTTTATTATCAGCCACCATCACATTGAAATCCATCGACGACCCAAATTATTGCAAAAACGGACACAATATCTATCTACCTCAGATTTGAGTGCGACTACGCTACCGTTTACTTTAACTAGAATGCATCGAATATGGCGTAGGTCATACTGTGAATTTGCTGAAGTATAGCAGCTCTTATTGGCCGCTTATGCTATTCTGACATAACGTTGCGGCCATAGTCTGGTCCCCCCGCAACGTATACCACGACTAAGAGAGCTGCATAAACTGCAGCAAACCCTGAATGAGTGCAACGTTGTATAACTTAAAAATAGCTTTACCTTGTGTCCAAGATAGCTTATGATTCGCTCTACAACTCCTTTGGGATACGTTGGTCTGAATTTCTGATAAGCTTCAGCGATCGCAACACCAGTAAACAACCTTCCATACCAGGACATGGCTATACATACAGCTGGTGTGTCACGTGATATCTGACCTCAACTCAAAGGTCATACATTCAATGCACAAGTACCAATGATGCATTGCGCACTCCCTTGTTCTCGCATAGGGTTTTATTGCGCGTCGTAGGCTAAATTGGGCGCCGCCAGGGACTTATGAAATGATTAAATAAGACATAGCCTTGACGGCAACGGTGCTACATTTGTCTTGATACACAGTAAACACCATAACCGAAAGCGGTTGTGGAAATACGTAACAGTGACAAAGACCCTGTGAAACAGCATCGAAGAACATCCGAAAAAAACAGCTCTTCATTTTTCATAAAGCGATCAAATATCTATATTTATGGGGGGGGCAAATTCTACTTTCACGTTACACTCGACACACAGTCATGATGAATTACATTTAAGAAAAATTGCACCATAGATGGCGCTCCTTGAGTTACGTGGACCTGGAATGGTTTGATACGCGTATAAACCGTTTCCGCTCACATTCACGCGTGTGTAAGGATAAGTTTAGATAAATGTTGCAATTTTAGGGCAAAAAAGTGTAGGGCTGGTGGTGGTGTATTTCTTAATAAATTGTTACAAACGTATGGTAGTACATCATTGGATACGTAAAATATTACTCGGTTAGCCACTGATATCTACTATATTTATTACGCGACCCTTTCCCTCGTGTAGATTCTGCGTTAATGTATAATGGTCGCTCTAACCTTCGTCAGCATAAGTAATACACCTTACTGGCTGATTCTCAGAGAAATACGTTTGGTACAATGTCATAGTTTTGCTACACCTTTGGTTATCTAGAATGTCCATGTTTTCCTAAATAAGTTGACATGCTGTTGACTTGGCGTTTGTTTGATGGAACGGCACTCCAAAGTTCATGAAATGCATACGAGTAAGCACGTTCTCTATATTTTTAGATGTACTAACATTTTTCTTGGAAGAACAAAGAGTACAACTGCAGAGATAGCTTATGTGTAAATACGATGTGCAATAATTACGACGTAAAGTTATTTGATGTGTTTCAATCATCCCAAAATTGCCTATTTAAATCCTGAAACATAGAGCCGTGTTATATTCATCGTTGGTGGCGCTATACAGTTTCGAAATCTGTGATTGCTCATATTTTTTGTATAACTCGTAGCTTCGCGGTAAGTGGCTTTCGCAGTAAGTGGGTTTCGTAGCGGGAAGCTTTCGTGGGGAGAAGGGCTTTGTCGCAGTAACTGTTCTTTTCATCCTTGTTGAGAATTAAAATATTATGTGTCTTTAACAACCTGTGCTATTCTGGGAATACCATCATTATGAACTGTTGAATTTCCCTTATGTTTTGTTCACTTGCTCTGGCTGGAGTTTCTAAATAAGACCCATGATAGTGGGTGACAACTTAGTGACATACTGTAAGTAATGATATTATTGGTGTTGCAGAAGGACAGTTGAATATTATTCATTGAAATCCCCTGGTAATAATAATCCCCGGACTAATTTTCCACTATAGATAAGAAATTATAGTACGAAACAAATAAATAAATATAGTATAAATGTAATAAAGAAATGTACTGTAAAAGGATTAATTAATCACTGGGTTTTAATTTTGCTTATTTCGCTGATTGGAAAGTGAGCTAAATTAAAACCCAGTAAATAGGTAAAATTTATTATAGAACACATTATCTAAATGATAAAACCGTGAATTTAAAACCCACTGAATATGCCTGAAATGGTAAAACATCGAAATTTAAACCCAGTGAAAATTAGTTATTTTACAGTATATATAAATGTTTGTTCACAATTTTCTAAACTGGCTTGGCAATTCCCGGCCAAATTAGATATAATGTGTACATATTTCAATACTTACAGGTACTCTAACAAAAATGAGATTTTAATTAAAGAATCAATGTTTGTCCTTGCCATAACTATGCATTATCCCTATCATTGTAAATGAGATTTAAAGTTCATTACTTGCGATTTAGCAATATTAAGAATTGTCAACATGCCCATGTTGGCAGGGTTTTGTTAAAAATTATTGTATTCAATGATATTTATTTTGTAGTTACATTTTTTGTATATCATAGGGTCCATACTATTTGTGTTCCTACTGATTTGACACTTTTTATCTGACACTTACCAGTACTGTATTCTCCAGCATAATTATCGGATTATTAATAAGCATAAGATTGTTATGTGAATTTTAATCATTAATGGAATACTATATGATGACGCCTTCAGGGCCTAACTGATTCAGAATCCCATATTAACTACGTTCCGAACCATTTACTGGTACTTACTTCCTTGTCAGTTTCTGGCTGGTATATACAAAAAAACACGCCAGTAAGTTGCCCATGCCAGAAGAGCCACAAAACCAAAACAATCCGTCAGCCGTCGCCGTCCCTGCCAGCGATATATTTTTACTAATCTATTTGCTTAGTGGTCTGATAATGAATGTTGTCAAGTACAAGAGGATGTTATTACGTACAGTGGCGTGAACATGGCTAAAATCAAAGATACGTTGAACATGAAGTCCATTTTGGACTAGTGCTATTGTCAAATTTTGGAGAGTACAGAAGACGTTACAGTAAGGAATTGTTATGCATATCAAAATCCTTATTGGAACAGAAAGCAACGTTGCAATGTTTCTAGGTTGATACAACGAACTCGAAACAAAAGAAGAAGTTCGACGCAAACGACCTGCGTCCTTGAAAATCGAGTCTAATCGCCTTTGCCATTCCGAGCGAAAAAGGGTCGTGGCAAAAAATAGGATAGGTTATATATTGGAGATGCCTAGGGAACCAAAATTTGGGACGTGAATCATGAGACAACTTGGTAAATTTGGAATAAAGTGCATTCGTACATGATTGTTACTAATCTCAGCTAAAATAAAACGGTATTTATTCAACATTGTGTTCTTAATGTAGTTTTTGAAAAAATGTCTAGTAATACTATTCATAAAACTCTCTTCATTCAGATGGTGATTTATAAATTCACCTTCATGAATTAGCAACGTTTTGCATATTTATTTGTATATATATGTGTGTGTGTGTGGGTGGGTGTGTGTGTGTGTGTGTGAGTGTGTGTGTGTGTGTGGGTGTGGGTGTGGGTGGGTGTGGGTGTGGGTGTGGGTGGGTGTGGGTGGGTATCATAGAGGTGTTATGGTTTTCTGCAAAGCAACAAAAAAACTGGAAATGATACATGGATTGCTGTGTGTTCAGCTGGTGCCTCATCGCCAATGACGTTCATCAACCTGTTGAAAAAGCGTTATTTAGACTTAATATATAACCATATTACAAACGTAGTCTATCTAAACATGTTTGTATCAGTCAGTCAGTCAGTCAGTCAATTAGTCAAAAAGCCAGTTACTCATTCGTTATTACAGTAATTCATTCAACCAATTTAGTCAACTATTCACTCAATCAGGTAGTTATTCATTAATTCATTCATTTCAATATTTATTATGTTATTCAATTGCTTAACAACGCATACACTCAAGCATACACTGCATTATACGAATATACCTAAATGAACCGTTTCAAAATTACATATGTACAATTGTATATCGAGAAATAATTGTTTGGACATATTATCTCAGTTGCCAAATATCCATTATAATTCACAATAGATTTAGTGAACATTATCAGTAAAATGAGCATAATGCGTATAAAGTGTTTAGTGACATTACAATACATTACATTACATCTTGTTATTTTTTAATAAATTACATATAAATACTGTAGAAATATATTTACTCTAAGCATTTGATGCAGTCACTTTGGGATAGTATCTATCAATTGCAAAGTAGTATGATGTACTTTAAATCAAATAATATTTGTCATTAAATGTTAAACATGGAATGTCATTTCAAACTTACATTTCTTTCACTTCCAGCAGTACGTGTTGTTTGTCGGGGTTCATTTTTAGATATTTATGGTATGTTGCAAACGAACTTAAGTACCCCACAAAATCTGCAACACTGTAGTCAATTTCAATTGAAAACGTATCATCCCTGTATGAAAGGGAACATATTACACATTTAAATACTGACGTACACAGCCCCCAAACTCATCACAAAAGTAATAATTATTCATATATATTGTATTATACATGAGCGCGTGCGAAAAGCAGCCACGCAATATTGAAATGATATATGAATATTTAAAATTTGATGAGATGATTTGTAAACAACTCATCGAGAACACATTTAGCTGCGAAAGTGTTAACATACTCACCTTTCAGATTCTGCATACGGCATTGTAAAGCATGTATAGTGTTGCTCAACGTTCTTTACTCCATCTTCCCAGAACCCACCTAAAGTCTTATAAACAAACTGAAATAAACAGAAATAATGAATAAAATCAGCACCAACTTCACTAAGATATGTTTTTCAAGTTTCAAAGCCCGTTGTTTTTAGCTAAACATTTTTAATCGGAATTACAAAATATGTTATTAGTTAGGGTGAGGCACACAAAAAAGGAAACATGTTCACATCACGTTACTGTACTATATTTATCATTCTGAAAAGTTGTTTTCAATAACTCTGATCACAATGGTTGAAATTATCAATGTGATTGTATTCTTGGAATTAAGGATGATTATACACGTTCATTGCGCACACATCTCGACAGTGTGATGTGGGCACGTTTCATATAGTATGCATTACCGAAGTTCTTTCACACAATAATATGTATGAATTATGTCGTCGCGATACAGAAACACGAAGCGCAATAGATTTCGTTTGGTTTTATAGATGTTTTTTTTAATATACACACATCATCATGTATACTTTGCAATTGTTTTCCATTTGTATTGTCGTGCAACTTTGGGAATCCATATCCATATACAGCAAGGCAACCGTTCGGCTTTAAAACCCTATCAACTTCTTTATAAAATTGATTACGATTGAACCAATGAGCTGCCTCTGCTGACGTCACTAGATCCACTGTATGATCAGCTGCAGGTATATTTCTATCACTTCCACTTCTGAAATACAAATATAAAAAAAAATTATTATTTCCTCTGTGCTGTATTGTGTTGAATTAGTTGAATATATTGTTTTTTTTGTTTTGTTATTTCTGTAATAGATATAATTATAATCTTAAAAATTTAATTTAGCTGTGATTCTAATTACAAATCTGGAAATATTGTGAAGCGTTCATGCATTCTTCCAAATCGACATGCGATCCGAATTGTGTCAATTGATGCGTCGCCACAATATTCCGAAAGGCGTAAAAGCCGTGTTACGCTTGGCAATTCGAGATGCATCGCATCGGGCAACGCGCGTTGTTTTAGTTGCCCTTCACCACAGTCAGTTGGCCGCGTTGCCTATTGCAAACTTTGATGTTGTACCTTGGATTGTTTCTTCAATTTTATTATGTTTGTGAGCTTAATTTCGTTTAGTACACTTGAAGTGCAATCTTAACATTTGAGCAATCTAAAAGAAGATGAATCGAACTTTTAATTTGACGGGTACATAATTGACACTTATTTGTCATTATTTCAGAGCAATAACAATTTTGTTTAGCTTAAAATACAGCTATTCCGCGTTTATACTTGTTTCAAAATATTACGATCATAAATTTGCAGTTTCAAGACCTAAAATTAGTAATTTAAATAATCATCAATTGAATGCATTTTTTTGTAATTTGAAAGAAGCCATTGTATCTGTCTCTGTGTCATGTACTGTAACATTATTCTTAAAGATTCTATTTATATCGTCTTTTATCGTCTGAATTTATTGAGTAGGTGTGCCTGTTGAGGTACCACATCGTCCCAGTTTTATCTGAACAGCTAATTTAGTTTTTCATTCAATTGAACCGAAACATTTTTTAAATTTATAACATTTTCGGATGAATGGATAATAAATGAATAATATGCCTCACTTCCTATATCCATTTGAGCGATTTAACATCAGTAAAACAAATATCAATACGCGCCTGATTACCCCTTTTGTATACGTGTCTTCTAATTAAAATGTTGCAAACACTTTTATCTGTTACACGAACTTTGAAGTCCATCGTCTATAAATGATGTGCTCTAAGGTGGATGTATTTACCGTCAAAAGATCGTCATGTACTAAAATTCACAAGGTTACTAACAAGGAATCCCAGCTGATTAACATGTATAGAAAAATAGAATGTTTGCCTAGCAAATGCCATAGCAACCAAGTAGGGCTAGGTCAGGATAGTGAGTTTAGGTGAGCACAAACAGGCAACTAGAAAGCACATCGTTTGGGATGGACAGCAAAGCATATACTTTGTTTACGAATACGCCAGTGCTATTCATGATCACAAATTGACAACGTATTCGTTAAATACAGCAAAGTAGTGATTTTGTCTTGTGAAGTTCAGTTACATGTTACATTCAGGTATTCTTGTGTTTGGGTAAAGGCAATAAAAGTGAATAAGACAATAAAATAACATTTGATGAACTGCTTTGGGCTTTTTTAAAGGGGGCAGAGGTCTGGCTTTTGACACTCTGTACATGAAATTTGAGATCTATGAATGAATTATGTCGATAAAAACAGCTTGTATGTGCTGCGAAATGCTCTAAATATCGGGTATAAAACGGACTGTGAAGCAGACGACAAACGTCCGGTTAGCATGTCAAATGATATCATCAGTGAACACTAGTACTGATAATTGAACCCATTCATTCTAGTACGTCAATCTCATAGAAGTGCTACTATGAAAGACCTTGTTAACTGACAATTTAAAAGTTGAAACATTGTTAGGTGTTGTGCATATGAATGCCATAACGTTTCATGTTAAGTTTCTCGAAATTCCAAATGAAAAAATCACGTTGATGGTTGCGAGAAATCGGCAGAAGAACTAACATGAATCGTTTTGTTTCCTCTTTTCTTTATACACACATGGGGCGTCGCATTGATCGTAGTTGGTCTTATTTTCGAATGTCGTGAGTGATAATGTAACAATTACATGAAAATACGTCGCTGGCCAGGGTAACATTGAAACGCGTTTGGTCATGCCTATTAGAATAACAACCCGGCACTTTGTAAATGACAATGGAATAGTCCAACTACGTCGTTCCTTGCGACCTAAGTCGCCGTTTTGATATCGGTTAATTAGGTACTCAGGAAATGTTGCAAAGTCCACCTGTAATGGGGAGGGAGTTAGGTGTGTATGCATCTTGCGCCCGCTGTAACATTTGGCGGTGACGTTGATTGACAAAATAGGAAACATTAATTACAAGCACTTCTTTTCAATTTTCTACATTTTTTTTTTGTTTAACTAACAGTTAGCTAACACGTTTGAGATTATGTTTACAGTTACGGGAAATGGAAAGAGTTCCTTAGGGCCCCCTAACATGATCCCTAACTCCAACACTCCAGTCCCCCCCCCCGGTGTTCTATATACTCCTCCAAATAATTATAAATGACCCAAAGTGGGGTATATACAATTGAAATGGAGGAGAGGTATTGGAGGGGCGGGGTTAGTATTAGAGTTATGGGTGAAAGGCCCTAAAGAACTCTTACCGGGGGAAAATAAGCTAACTTACTTATATTCCACATTTGTTGCGAGGTTATGGTCAATGGCTTCTTGTATCTGAGATTCACTGACGTCACACCCAATGACTTGATCAAAATAGTCTCCAAGAATAACCGTACTTTGACCGGAACCACATCCCACATCAACGGCCAGGCTATGAGGACCAGGCTTCTGTTTTGAAAACACCAACATACATCGAAACATTGGATCAGAAATTCGGTACTGTCCATAAACTTTTTTGTAATTGTGAAAATGACTGAATATCACACAGGGGGACAAATAAAGATCGTATAGTACTGGAAAAGACACTAGTCAGCGCAGAAAGAAATTGCCTAATATTTAAACCATCACAGTTCACGTAACGGCAATGTATTTTGCATACAAATGTTGATATGGTTGATTAAATATTTCCATTGTCATACGCCAAAACAAATGTGGCCATGACTGCAATCTAAAATACGATGTCCTTTAACTCATCACTGGGGTCTGACGATCTATCTGTGTGGCTGGTTGCTGAAGTCAATACATGGACGTCTATGGGGCACACACGCACACATTTTTTTTAGCAAAATATCTTGTCAACCAAGTTACGAGTGTGTCCTTCAGCGGCAGGACTGCATGCAAATGATTTCTGCTTGAAGGTGTTCCCTTATGATTAGTATAGCGCAGGCTGATCGACCAAAAGCAAGATATTAGTGTTTTTTTTTGGGGGGGGGTCGGAACACTGAAGATTAATTTTGTGATATATACTTGCATTATATTACCGAACTATTTCAATTCTACAATTGCTGTAATTTTGAGAAAAATAAGGTACGGCACCGGGACAAGGTCGTTCCGCCCCTATACGTCCATGTATTCAAGTTGACTTCAAGTCGCCGGATGTACAACGCATTCAAATCGACCAATGATCAAAATTATTGTAAAAGCAGAAGAAACCTCTATCTGCATCTGCTTTGAATACAATTGCTGCTCACTGTAACAAGATCTCGAGGACACCGAATAACATCATCACCATGCCCTGATTGAATGCAATGCTTATGGGCATATAAATCAATTACCTTGTGTCCAAGATAGCTTATGATTCGATCAACAACTCCTTTGGGATACGTTGGTCTGAATTTCCGGTAAGCTTCAGCAATAGCAGCACCAGTAAATAACCTTTCGCACGAAGACATTACTTTACTTCAGACTACTATACAACAGACTAGCAACGCCTATTGCTGTGGATGTAAACTTGAATTGAGGATTACGCCCGTAGGGTGCGTGCCACCGTGACGGCAGACCTTGCTGGTACGTTTATCCCGAGTCCGAAGATTTTCGAACGCACTCTCATTTACCATCTCGTTATTTGTATAATTAAAGAAACATGGAGAATAAGCATAGAAATCCATTGCATATGTTTTGTCGTATTTGTGGCAAGCATTCAACCACGAAAAAAAGAAAACTACGACCCAGCTAATGTTACTGCACTATCTCGCGTTATTTGATGAAATAGTAATGATGTCGCGTTATTACGTTATAGTCGGGCTAGTTCCATCGGTTGTTTATTGGATTAAATAGTTATCATCAAAACAAACCTGGCACGTATCTGACCAAAGAAAAAGCCGCGTTGCTAATTTGTTCTCTAGTAGTCTGAGACTATACATACAACTGTTTGTCACGTGATATCTGACCTCAACTCAAAGTTCATACATGACATGTATACATGACAAGATCTCATATACATATACATGGATAGCCAATGGGTTTTCTTCACTGCGTTTTATCTGAAACGCGTTGTGTGAGAGCGTACTTCAATTACGTCAGCTATTAAGGTCTCATGCCACTAATCAACCATAGAACGTTTCCAGTGATTTCTTTAGGTGCAGTACTCTACACCAGGTGTGTCTTGCTTACCTCGGCTATGTCAGAGTGTAATCTGGCAAACATGTGCGTTTTTGTTTGTTTCATGTGGTTGATAACTGACATGTTGATTTCCCATTATAGAGTCATGTTGCCGACTTTGTTTATCATTTTCATGTAGCAATTTGCTCATTAGTGGTGTGAGCCCATAGACTGGTGTGTGAATCTTTGTTTATTGACAAGTACCGGTGATTTGTGGATTTGGGCAACTCTCGATTTATTTAAACTTTAAGACTGGCCTCTTTTCTGAGATTATTGAAGCCTGGCAAATTTGTGTGTTTTGGTTTTAATCTATTTTGTAGAAGTTTGAGAAGGCCAACATTTTTTTCTTTCTGGCCAGAATTATATTGTACATGTGATTACACAAATTAAAACAATATTTTGATCTTTTAGAGAAATTCAATTGTCGTCCATGGAATTCTAATTCGTGGTATGAGCCCTTGAAGTGCCCGTGAAATATAATTTTTTTATATTTTAGTTTTCTGAATATATATATATATATATATATATATATATAATGATTTTGAGAAAAAGGCTATGACATTCTGTTTTTTTATTATACATCGCCAGAAATGAGTGGACAAGATGGCCGACTTCCGCCAGTGTTCCCCAGTCAAATAAACATCACAGAATGTGCCATAGAGAATGCATTGCATAAACATATATTAAAATAAAATTTAATTTTGAGTTTATATTTTTCAGTTTTTCACTTTTGTGTGCTTCGTAATAGACAGGTGATGTTCCAAGCTTTCTATATGTTATATATGTTTCCATTAAAACTTCACCATTAAATGCCCAACTTGTCGTAAAACCTGATGATAAATTCCTCACTGGCCCAGTGTATTACCATTGGACGATGTCCATTTGTGTGCCAGACTCTATTTTGACAAATAAGAAAATGCAGTAACGCAGGTGACTGTTCAAGTTTGTTTGTTTCGTTCTGGATACTCTCTGGTTCATTGAACACGGCGACACAGTTGTAGACGCAGTATTCGCTGCCCAAATTAGAGTTGAAATTCATGCGTTTTTTCACACAGATGTACGATCCAGTTGTTAGCAAATATAACTGTTTTAATCCAATTAACAGGAAGTAACCTGAATCAAGATTTATTTTATGTCATTTATTCCATGTTAAATCACCCCACTTTTCGAACCCGACCCACTATCGCCATACTGCTTTTGATGCTGAAGTTCAGACCACAAGATCAATATATTGTATCGGCCGTTTTTCCTCTTTATAAAAGAGGCGTTTCAGCCCACTGCCTGTCCGTGAGTTGTGTATTGTTCCACGACAGTCTCATCTTTTGTCTTGTAATGCGCCAGACAAACATAATTTGCATACCAATCGTCATTGACGACCACAATGATATTTACAAGATTAGTCTGCTCACATATTTTTGTATTAAGTATATAACGGGTGGCTGTCTTCAATGCCATTTCAAGAGTGTACCCACAGTCCCTCTATCACCGGTCTGAAAACGCCTATTGTTTTACGTGTGAATCGGCGGGATTAGTGGGCTAAGGCTTGTAACGGCTCTCCGCGAAGCGCGGTACTATACTGTTGATAGCTTCGAGATACATCGCGTTCAGTGCTGTGATCTATTTTTTAACGTTTCCAGAACATATTCGATACCGTATACAAATATTTTTTT